CACACTGCTAAAATAACTAAGACTTGTCACTGCATCTACATCTTGTTGTTTTCTGGTGAACTGAAGTGCTTCTGCTATCTTCATGCTTTGGATAAAAGTGTCTGCTAAATGTAAATCTATTTAAAGTTCAGTTATAGCAATGGAAATACAAAGAAATCTGATTTTTGATTTGATGTGTGTACTCATTTTATTAGCCACAGTCAAGTGTGATGTTTGATGTTAGTTCTTTTTCTTTGTGTATTTATTTTTCTCACCCTCTCCGCTTCTTACTCAACTCTTAAGTTTCTTATTGGTTCAGCATCTGTCCATCATCATTACGACATCGTCAATCTACAGACAAGCCGCAAGCATTTAAAGCCCAGAGAGACCAGCGTGTGGTGTGCGCTCTGCCTCTGCATACCTTTTGTGCTCCACGCAATTTGTTTTGACATGCTTAGGCTGTGTAGTGATTTATTATCTCAGGTAACTGTGGTAATTCAAGTTTACTTATTAAACTTTATTAGCTTTGAGTAAAATAATATGATGTATGTTGTGTGATTCTAAACTGAGCCTATGACCGTATTCTTAGGTTTATTTTACTTTAGATGAACTTTTGTTAGATTAGTTTGAGTGTTTTGCCACCTGTGTAACCTTGAGTTTTGTAGTTTAATTAGTTTAGTTCGGGTGTCGTGTACACTAAAGATCTTGGTTTTTATTTTTATAATTTATTTTTGTTGCCTAGTTCTGACTTTAGATTTAGGGATTGTTTTGTTTTGTTAATTTCTTTGATTTGGCTTGCATTCGTTATTTTCATTTAAAGAGAACAATTGTAAATGTTTTTTTCCTTTTTCTATTTATTATTGTTACATATTGTTTAAACCAGGGGTCACCAAACTTGTTCCTGGAGGGCCCGGTGTCCTGCAGATTTTAGCTCCAACCCTAATCAAACACACCAGAACAAGCTAATCAAGGTCTTGCAAGGTATACTTGAAAAATCCAGGCAGGTGTGTTGAGACAAGTTGGAGCTAAATCCTGGAGGGACACCGGCCCTCTAGGACCGAGATTAGTTACCCCTGGTTTAAACCATTGAGTAAAAAAAAAAAGTTTAAACAGAGAATTGATTCCTGCCTCATCCTTGATCTGTCGCACACATCACACCTGTCTCACCTAAATGTTACAGCATCCCACTGAAACATCTTAAACTCGTAACAAGGAGTGTTAATAAAGTAAAATTCTTTAATTCTTATCAAGAACACTCTAAGATGAATAATAGTTGTTGTTTTTTTACCTGCATTTCCTCTGAAAATAAATACAAGCGATGAAAATCACTGCAGATGTCTACTGTGGATGTGGTATATGTGTCCAGTTTCTAATGTTCTCCATGCGCTTGAGTCTGCTAAAAAACAGAACAAAGAGAGAAACTTTAAACAGCTCATTTGTGTCAAACATCAGAAGAATCCCAGAATCAGAAATAAACAGACTTCTGCAAATCTGTTTTACTGACAAAACTTCAACTATTTTAAGGAAATAAATAATATCATGAATGAGTGCACCGCATTGCATGTGTGAAGACAAATTAAATTAAATAAAATCAAATAAAATTATAACTAACAGGAAAAATCATGGAGGTCATGTGTACAAACTAATTTAGAAAACAGATTTAGATTAGATTACTAGAGGCTGTAATTGTATTTGCAATACCTTGCTGAATTTGAGTGTATTGTTTTACTATCCTGTATATGTTGTAGGCATACTCTTATGTTAACGGTTTAATAAAAGAGTTAATAAAATCTGTAATACAAATGGTCATTATTTAATTAAAACATTTATAAAGTTTTAAAGGTGATACTCATTTATGCTGTACACTACATTTTTAGAGCCGTTTTTATGTGAACATCTAGGAACATATTAAAATAAAATTAATCCATATCCTGAACCCTTTAATCCATATCATGATCTTTGCAGGGAATATTCAGAAACATCTGTCTGTGTGTGGATCCAGCGTCCCCTCCATTTTGGAGGACATCAGAGACTTATTTTACATCTTGTAAAAAGAGCCATATAATAGGTTTCTCTTTAAATATGTCTGATTTAATGCAGTGGATATTACTGTTTACACAAATACTGAAATAGATGCAAAGCTGTGAATAAAAATATAACAGGGCATCCTCACTGTATTCTGCAATAATTCGGTTATTCAATTTTTTAAAGACAGAGATAAAAAAGTGACATGTACACAGATATTCTTATGGCAGCTATCTAAAACTATTTAATAAAGATTTAATGGGAAATTGTGTAAAACATCTTTTAAAAATGTTTGGATTCTTACCAGATAATAAACAGTCACCGGCCACTTTATTAGGTACACCTGTCTAGTGCATTTAGGCATGTAATCATGGTCAAGACTATTAGCTGCAGTTCAAACTGAGCATCAAAATGGGAAAGAAAGGTGATTTAAGTGACTTTGAACGTGGTGTGGTTGTTGGTGCCAGTTTGGGCTGGTCTGAGTATTTTAGAAACTCCTGATCTACAGAGGTTTTCACGCACAACCATCTCTAGGGTTTATGGTCAGAATAATCAGAAAAATACTAAATGTCCAGTGAGCAGCAGTTCTGTGGGCGCAAATGCCTTGTTGATGCTAGAGGTCAGAGAAGAATGGCCAGACTGGTTCGAGCTGATGGAAAGTCACTCCTGTCAGCTAAGAACAGGGAACTGCGGCTACAATTTGCATAAGATCACCAAGCTTGAACACTAAAAGATTTGAAAAACATTGCCTGGTCTGATGGGTCTCAATTTCTGCTGCGACATGCGGATGGCAGGGTCAGGATTGGGCATCAACAACAAGAAAGCATGGATCCATCCTGCCTTGTATCAACAGTTCAGGTTGGTGGTGGTGGTTGTCTAATGGTGAGGGGTATATGTTCTTGGCACACTTTGGGCCCATTAGTATCAATTAAATATCGTATCAATGCCACAAACTACCTAAGTATTGTTGCTGACCATGTCCACCCCTTTATGACCACAGTGTACCCATCTTCTGATGGCTACTTCCAGCATGATAACGCACCATGTCATCAAGCGTGAATCATCTCAAGACTGGTTTCTTGAACCTGACAATGAGTTCACTGTACTCAAATGGCCTCCACAGTCACCAGAGCTCAATCCAATAGAGCACCTTTAGGATGTGGTGGAACAGAAGATTCGCATCATGAATGTGCAGCCGAGAAATCTGCAGCAACTGCGTGATGCTACCATGTCAATATGGACCAAAATCTCTGAGAAATAATTCCAGTAACTTGTTGAATCTATGCCGTGAAGGATTACAACAGTTCTGAAAGCAAAAGTGGGTCCAATTCGGTACTGGTGAGGTGTACCTAATAAAGTGGCCGGTGAGTGTATACTCTGTAAATTAAGGATGTAATTAAGATAATAGTTAAGATGTTACACTACTGGTCAAAAGTTTGGAAACATTTATATTTAGTTTAATGTATTTAGGGGAAAAGTATTTTTTTGCTCACCATAAGGCTGTATTTATTAGGTCAGAAATACAATAAAAACAGGTAAATTGCCAAATATATGTATTCTCACACGTGCACTTTGCAGTGGGTTAAAGACACAAATAAGGCAAAATACGGTTTACAAACTAAAGGCTCGACAGACGAAATAACTTCCAGTATGTATATATCTTATTAAAATTGAATATATGATTTTATTATCCTAAAAATTGTTGTGATCATACTGTTTAACTGCTTTAAATGTTAACTGTTTAATAAAAGTGTTAATACATTTTTTTTTTGCAAAACAGAAGGGTACACACTATACTCATTTATTCTGGACACTGTAAGTTTGTAACCACATTTTTTTATGTGAACATCTAAGATCATCATAATAAAATAAATCCATTTCTTTAATACACATAATGAACCCTGTAATGAATATTCAGGAACAATTCTGAACAAGCATGCAAATATCTGCTCTCTACATACTTGTGGTGCTTGGAGGTTTGTTCTTCTATCAGTCACATCACATTCTCTGTATATTTCTTCTGCATCCTAATAAACCAAGAACAGCCATGTTTAACATTATTATAATGATTTACAGACACTCAGACTTGTGCAGAGATAAGCACTAGTGGTTCTACTCTTACTAGATAAGTTCCTTTTTTTAGCCAGTCTACAGTATTTTCTCATTTTACATTTTTTACAGTACTTTATCTTTAAGTGTATTTTGAGAGCATTTTTAGGTGTCATTTCTCAAAATCCAACATGAAAAAGCGATGGTCCAGGACACTGACCGAAACAACTCAGGTATAATGCTTACATAATTCATGAACTTAAAATTATCACTTTTTTAATAGTTATGTTTATAATACTGCTACATAAATACAATTTTAGCCATTCTTTAACAAACAGATGTGAAAAATAAGAGTCTAACGGTAAATTTAATTTTGAACATTAACATAAATGTTTCTTCTCTTTGTTGTCAAATAACAGAACAATTAATGAACAAGTAATTTATAAAGCCAAAAAGGAATCAGTAAGACATGCCGCCATTTCATTAACCTCAGCATCACATTACTTTTGTAAGTTATTTGAAGTGTAAATGGAGTTTGATAAGGTAGATCTGCTGATTTTAACGGATATACACTATAATATCTCGGTTTTCATGTATACAAGCGCTTTTTGCCAATAACTGACATCAGACGTGCAAAATAAATGCCGAGACAAATCTTACCTGTGAATGTATTTAAATCGACCCTGATTTAAAAAAACGAATCTCTGGTTAACCAAACGACCAGTAATGATTCATCAAACAGGAAATATTTACGAGTCAAACAAAGATTTCCTGAAAAATCCGTTTTATTTCGCTCCAAAAACTCACGTGGACACAAGCAACCGCGTAATATTGCATTTTTCAACTCTAAGAAAAACTAAGCAAATCTGACCAATGACGTATCTGTAGAAACGTTGGAACGCGTTCGAATTCTTGGGAGACACACCCAGTACATTCCAACTTTCGCCATTGCTGTATTTGACGAGTATCTAGCGAGTTGTACAAAGATTGCTTTGTATAATTTGCTTTTCTTATATTGTCAGTTGATAGCGTACGGTTTATTAAGGCTAATTCACCATGTTATTTACCGTACTCGGAGTAATTGCTCTCTTCCTGGGAAAAAGAAACAACAATTCCACCGTCTCAGGTCAAGATGAAAGATTCGACCGTCAGGAAGGATTGGTCACGGTATCCTCCGTGACTAAAAGTGATGGTAAATAATGTTGTGTGTTATAAAAACATGTAGCTCACTTTGTATACTGGAGTCTGTGTAGGGCTCTACACTTATTTTACCTTACTGTAAATATTTTTATAAAAGTGAATAAGATTTTTGGTAATAACATATGCCTAATGAAAACTACAGTACTAAATCAGGCCTAATCTAAGCTACTGATGTAAACACATCAAATAATATAAAAAAATAAATAACCCCACCCTCCCCCAGCAGATTATTTACCTTGTTTTAAGGAAAACTCAGTTAATTTTGACATATTTCTGAAAACAAGACAATATTTTTACTTGTCAATAAAATGCTTCTTGATTTAATGTTTTGATATTTAGACTACAAACAAGACAAACGCTAGGTAAAGTGTTTTTGCTTTGCATAAAGTTTTTCAATTATGCATTCATAATCCGTAAAGACTAAATAATTTTCTCTGCTTCAAGATGGAAGGGTTAGTTCACCCAAAAATGCAAATTGCGTAATTAATTATTCACCCTCACGTCACTCCAAACCCAACACCTTCCGTCATCTTCTGAACACAAAAGATGTTTTAGATGAACTCTGAGCACTCTCTCATCCTCAAAGTACATAAAAATACCACAAAACATCCTCAAGCAGACCAAATGCCTACAGTGGTTTAGTCGGTATATTATCAAGCTACGTGAATACTTGTGTAAAAAATTTATCCAACAGTTTATTCTCTTAAATAACAAATGATGATGTTTAATGTTTTAATGGTATTTGTAGTGGAAAATATGAAATTTTTTCTCATAGGTTTAGTGTTTTTGCCAAGCTTCGGGTTATTTTATTCATTGTTATATGATACAAAATATATCAGCTATAAGGTCATATTGACAAGTTTTTATAGAAAACAAATCATTAATTGCAAAGTGAATTTGATTATGAACAGTAATTTCATCATGTGACATTTTTAATTTAATGACATAATAAGCCTACCTAATGTAATGGCTGAAAGGAACATCTCAATATCTAGACGTCTAATATCCAGTATCTGAACATAAACTTAACAATAAAGATTTAGATGACCTGATTATATATACATTCAGCAAATCAATTCAAATCACTATGTTGGTCACAGCAAAACATCCTTGCATATGCACACACTAATCAACAACTAAAAGTAGAAAGAAATTACCTTGTTTGTGACTTCATAATTGACAGCATTTGTTCATATCAATAATAAACACTGGATAAATATTATTCAAGTAAAACTAAAACCTTTTGTTTCATGTTATTTCTTCCTTTAGGTCGAGAAATCGGTGACTGGTGTAAAGAATCATCTTTGCATCTTGAGGAACAGATCAATGTTCAGATTGAGGAACCATCACTGGAGGAACCTGTTGATGGTCAGAGTGAAGAACAACCACCGGTAGAGCCCGACAGTGTTCCCGGTGAAGAACAACCACTGGTAGAGCCCGACAGTGTTCCCGGTGAAGAACAACCACTGGTAGAGCCTGACAGTGTTCACGGTGAAGAACAATCACTGGTAGAGCCCGACAGTGTTCACGGTGAAGAATTATCACTGGTAGAGCCTGTCGATGGTCACAGTGAGGACTTAGCCAGCTCCTCCAGCAGTAGTGATGACTTCCCTCAAGACATTTACTCAGCTGGATCCAACTGTAGTAGTGAGCTCACAGCCAGCTCCTACAGCAGCTTCTTCTCTGCTGAGTCCGGCTGTGGTGATGACCACTCAACAGATTTTCTGTCCGCTGAGTCCGGCTGTGGTGATGACCCCTCTACAGATTTTCTGTCCGCTGAGTCCGGCTGTGGTGATGACCACTCAACAGATTTTCTGTCCGCTGAGTCCGGCTGTGGTGAAGACCCTTCTACAGATTTTCTGTCAGCTGAGTCCGGCTGTGGTGATGACCCACCTCCAAATGTGGTCTCTGCTGAGCCAGGCTGTAGTCATGATGACCCACCAAATGTGGTCTCTGCTGAGCCCGGCTGTAGTCATGATGACCCACCAAATGTGGTCTCTGCTGAGCCCGGCTGTAGTCATTACCCCCCTCGAAATGTGGTCCCTGCTAAGCCCGGCTGTAGTCATTACCCCCCTCCAAATGTGGTCCCTGCTAAGCCTGGCTGTAAAGCTGTCGCTAAAGGTGCAACCTGTCAGACAAAGGGCGCTATTTCACCTCAGCCAGAAGAGCTGAAGGACAAAGACAGACACATTATTGGTAAGTTTACTACCGTGACAGCCCACTCACCCAACACACATACATATTTTAATAGTGCTTTCATGACTTTTATACTTTAAACTGGCTTTAATACACATTTTGTTCAGGGATAGCTGATAACTAAGATGGAATTTTTTATATATATATAGATATCTCATAGTCATATATATAGGGAAGACAGAATAAAAAAGGTTTAGATGATGGGGTTACATCTGCTGTGGTGACCCCTGATGGAGCAGGTGGTTTTAGATGAAGGCAGCACTGTCACTAATTCACACATTTGATTAACTTCTCTTCTTTGTCTTTTCACAGAGATCAACTCAAAGTGCTATAAAATTGGTGCTAAGCTGGGCAAAGGAAGTTTTGGAACCGTTTTCGCAGGAACCCGTTTAGAAGATGGCCTTCAGGTGGCAGTAAAAATGGCTGACTTCAAGATTAAGCGATACATCCAAGTTGTAAGTAGTCTGTGCTCTTTGCTCTGATTAACTGTGTCTATTTTAAACATGTCATATTAAAGGTGCTGTATGTAAGTTTTTGACTCTTCTAAAGCACAAAAATACCATTATGTGTTTGCAGATATTTGAGAAACATGCTAAGTAAACAAAAGTCAGTTATTCTCCTTTAAAAAAAATGTGTCAGTCTTTGTTTTGCGCTCTATAATCTGCCCACTACTTTTTATGATGGACGTGGTCAACAGTTTTAACAGGAAATAACTTTTCCATCAAATGATCTGAACAACTTTCTTTCTTCTAGGATGATTTTGACCAGCCACTTCCAGCGGAGATCGCCCTGCACTTTCTTGCCACTAAAGGCCCCAAGGCTAAACAAATTGTTAAGCTTCTGGACTGGAAGGTGGAGGCTGATCGTTACTTTCTAGTCCTAGAGCGGCCCATACCCTGTGTGAACTTAGGGGAATTTCTAAGACAACACAAAGGCAGAATCCCAGAGAAGGTGTTATGGAAAATCATGTTCCACACAACAATTGCAGCTGACATCTGCTGCAAACGTGGAGTGCTTCACCGCGATATCAAGCCTGAGAATTTGCTGATTAACACGCGGACCTATGAAGTCAAACTGACTGACTTTGGCTGTGGTGAACGCCTTACTTTGAGCTTTTACACAGAATTTTGGGGTAAGTAAATCCTTCAAAGCTCTAAGGAGCTCTTGTGATGGGTCAAGGGTCATTCACATCAGACTCTTGAAACATCTGTTGTTGTTTATCTATACCAGGGGTGCCAAAGCACAGTCCTAGAGGGCCGGTGGCCTACAGAGTTTAGCTCCAACTTGCTTCAACACACCTGACAGAAAATGTCTCGTATACTTAGTAAGAGCTTGATTAGCTCGTTCAGTTGTGTCTAACTGGGGCTGGAGCTAAACTCTGCAGGACACAGATCCTCCAGGACTGAGTTTGGGCACCCCTGATCTACACTGTTGTTTACTTTTTTGCATGGAAATTTAGATGATGTGCTAATGGAAACAAAATCTCTTTCTTTCAGGCACACCACAGTACTGCCCTCCCGAGTTTAATAGCACTGGCTTATACTACGGGGAGCCAGCGACAGTGTGGTCACTCGGGATTCTTCAGTATTTGCTAATGTTCAAAAAATTTCCAGACTACCGTGACCTCCAAAACTTGACTTTCAGTTATTTAAAGCAATATGGATGGTCAAAAGGTGAGATCTTCACTTGAGCTAAAGATGGTTGTGTAGGACAATTTGAATGTCAATGAAAAGTTTACAATTTAAGGCAATATTTACATGTATCTCTTCCTTTTTTCTACACAGAATGCAGTGATTTCATTAGCTGTTGTCTGCAGACTGACTACAGATTTCGGTATAAGCTGCAAACACTCCGTATCCATGGCTGGTTTAAGGTAATGAATACATTTTGAAAATTTTGTCATCAGTCAAATGAATCTGTCATGAGCTGAGTTTCCATCCTAATGTGAAGCACATCTTTTCAAAGTACACTAAATATATTTATTTTGTAATTATAAATGTGAATTATGAGCAAATGATTCCATTAAGTTGGTAAAGCAGCTGAACTGTGGAATTGGTAACCTCGTAGCCAACAGTAAACAAGGGAAGTATAATTGAGAAATATTCGCTACATCAAAGTTAATTTGACAAATGTATTTCCATCATAAACCCTTTTTTAAGAGTGCAAAATGACCTCAAGTGAGCATAAAAATGTTTTGTGAATTAAGGGATTTTTATTTAAACTTGTTTCTCATGTGATGCTTGAAAAGGTGCATTAACACAGGCTGATGGAAACCCAGCTAGTGACAGACGACAGTCTTGTTTTCTTAAATGTCCTTTATTTAAATTGACATTTATTGCTTTTATTTTAATTATATGCTGTTTGTTTATTGCATTAAAGCTGTAAACCTGATCACTGTTTTTGTTTCAGGCGGAGACCAAGCGGTAATGAGGAGAGATGTCCATATTTAATAGGTGGATCTAGCCAGTCTAACCACGCCACCATAGTCCTTTAGCTAAATACTACTTCATCCATTTCAACCTTAGAGAGAGAAAGCTGAGCATAATTGGTTCTGCATTGTTACATCTCTCCTATTTTTCAACATTTAAACTGGCTCTAATTAAATTTCATGTAAATAAAGAAATTATAATAATAACTTAACAGTTTAGACCTTTATATAGTGTACACACATAGTGTACCTTTAATATCAGCTTTTGCACTAACTCTTACACTTCCACATGCTAAAATAAAATGTATAATAAAAAAAAAATAATAATAAATAAAAAAATGAAAAAATAAAAAATCTCAGTCGTTCCCAGTCCAGGTCCATATATTTTGGGTGTCTCTCTCTAAAAAAAAAATTTAATTTGAGCCAGAGGAGAGAGACTCCTGACCAATGATTACTGGGATCAACTGATATATATACAGGGTTTCCAATGAATATTATCACTCACCAGCCAATCTGGCCACAAAACTAGAAAAAAAAAATAATAATAAAATTATATATATATATATATATATATATATATATATATATATATATATATATATATATATATATAAATAAAAAGTAAAAAATTTAATTAAATTAAAAACTGGAATTATTTTAATAAAAATAAAATAACAATAAAAAACATCAATAATAAATAAAACAATTAAAAAAAACTGCCCGTATTGAAATATAAATCTATAACTGGCCATGTCATTGACGAATCAGAAATTATTCTAAAAACAAAAAAAATTAACAATAAATAAAACATTTTTTAAAAAGTAAGTTATGTTATTTATTACTCATCCTCATGTTCATCTTCAGAACTATTTTTACTATTTTTATCTTTATCTTAGAGCTCCCTCATCCAGACTCAAAGTCTACAAAAACCTCCTCAAAACAGATCATATGCCTTCACATAAAACAAACTTTATTCAGTTTCTTCTCCTCAGTGTGATTATAGGGCACGCGTTCACAAGCACTGTGCAGTGACATATACCCCACTGGATGCCTGCGCGACTTCCTCTCTGACTTCCTCTCTTAAAAAATACACAGGCGCATCCAAGGTTATATGTCAGAGGCGCAACACGTGAACGCGTGCTCTATACTGACACTGAGGGGAGAAATTGTTGAATAAAGTAATTTTTGTTTTATGTCCACATAAAGTTCTCATAGTCAGGAATCTTGCTGTCTATGAAGGATTAAGGAGCTCTCAGATTTGACTGAAAGATCTTCATTATTTTCAGTCAAATATCTTCATTTGTGTTCTGAAGAGGAATAAAGTTACTACCTTTAGTATTTGCTTTGATATTGTCCTCATATACAGCCTTCTTTAGTCTAATGTTTTGCTAATGTGCTATATGATTGATGGTTGGAGGACATCATTTATTGACTAGTGATTTTGTATGTAGTTGTAGTTTATGGTGAGTGATAATCCAAACCCTGTATATATAGGTGGCGAAGTCCGTTCCTCCACGTGGTGCCACTGGAAACTGCCCATCTTGAAGGTGGTGCTGAGCTGAACACGGACAAAAACTGACATTAGTCTGGGGCGACAAGCCTCACAACTGATGACAATTATCAAATTTGTTCTGAAGTTTCAAATAAAGTCACATTTGTCAAAAATAAGTATTTCTTCTCTTTTTTAAAGGCTGAATACTGCTGATTACTGTGTTTCAAATCATTCAGGAACAAAATGACAACATTTGTAGATTTAACATTAACATAAGTTTAGCTGGATTTAACGTCACTGAGCTGAATGTGTTTGTGTACAAGCATACATTTGATGGAATCAGTAGCACTAATGCAGTGTAAAAATGCTTCCCTTCCAGCCGCAACCCAGCACCATGCTGGGAAACACCCATACACTCTCTCATTCACAAACACTGATCTGTTTCACTGATCTAATCCTCCAACAATAGCACTTCCTATTTTTCCTTTTAAATATTTGTTTTTTCAGCTTCTTTATTTCAAAATAATAATACAAACACACACACTGCTAAAATAACTAAGACTTGTCACTGCATCTACATCTTGTTGTTTTCTGGTGATCTGAAGTGCTTCTGTTATCTTCATGCTTTGGATAAAAGCGTCTGCTAAATGTAAATCTATTTAAAGTTCAGTCATAGCAATGGAAAACAAAGAAATCTGATTTTTGATTTGGTGTGTGTACTCATTTTATTAGCCACAGTCAGTGTTATCAGGAGTGTTAATAAAGGAAATTTCTTTAATGCTCATCAGGAACACACTCTAAGAGGAATAATAGTTGTTGTTTTTTTACCTGCATTTCCTCTGAAAATAAATACAAGCGATGAAAATGACTGAAGATGTCTACTGTGGATGTGGTATATGTGTCCAGTTTCTAATGTTCTCCATGCGCTTGAGTCTGCTAAAAAAACAGAACAAAGAGAGAAACTATAAACAGCTCAATTGTGTCAAACATCAGGAGAATCCCAGAATCAGAAATAAACAGACGGTTAGAACATCTCAGACTGCTGATTAACTGTGAATGACTGTTTTATATTGATTATAGAAATATAGATACTTCTGCAAACTGTTTTATTGGCAAAACTGGAACTATTTTAATAAAATAAGACGATGAATGAGTGCACCACATTGCATGTGTAAAGACAAAACATCAAATAAAATTAACAGGAAAATTCATGGAGACCATGCATACAAAATAAGAGATTTAGATTAGATTACTAGAGGCTGTAATTGTATTTGCAATACCTTGTTAAATTTGAGTGTATCGTTTTATTATCCTGTATATGTTGTAAGCATACTCTTATGTTAACGGTTTAATAAAAGTGTTAATAAAATATCTGCAATTTACAGTCGTTGTTTATTTAGAAACATTTGTAATTTTGTAACAATTATGGCCGATCAGATACATAATTATTAAGCTTTGTTCCACGAATGACACAATTAACCTCTCCTACCCAGGAAAAGACTGGATGGTCAGTGTGTAATCCAATTCCACGGTAGTTACGAGTCAAAGGAAAGCTCAGAAATAAACACAGACATGGTCACACTTCTACAAGCTCCTTGCTTAAGACTGATGCTTTTAAATGTAAACTTTTATTCTCTCTCGATGTATAATCAGGTGTTTTGCAACAAGTCTCTTGCTCTTGTATTAATATTATGATTTTAATACTTCTGCAATCAATGTTTAACTCTACCACAGCTAAACAAGATCACAGATGGTTCATGTTTGTTGTCCCTGCAAAGTTAAATGGGTGTACGGAGCGATTGTTTACATTTTTTATTAATACATGTGCAACATATTAACATTAAGAACATTTAAACATTTCTGCATCAGCTTAAACCTAGAATGCCTTTGCAAATTCCTTTACGCTTCGGAACAAAAAAAAACTATATAACGTGCCTCAGTAAAGGAACTTCTCATCGGTCAACTCAGCTCCTGAGGGTGGGTACAAGGCCATCCTTATAAAGCTGGTGACCAAGGCCACCCCCAGGCAACAATCAAGAAGAACCCCAGGAGAACACCCAGAGAACTCCAGGGAGCAGGCGTGGACCCTGACAAAATGGGTTAACCGCACAGGTACACAGTGTCTATGAGAAAAGAAGAGGCTTTTTTCCTGAGAACAATTGAAAAAGCAAGAGGTAATTCCAGATTATTATGGAACCAGTTGAACTACTTAAAAGGTGATAAAAGAAAAGACAGGTCTTCACTTGAATTGATGGTAAATGGGGAACTGGGGTCCGTTCTTCGTACCTCGCTTAAATGATCTAAGATGATTTGGCAAATCATGGATCTTTTAATCTTGATAACTGATCTCTTGCTAATTTGGTTCTTCAAACAAGTTCGCGAATCAGATTAGAATGTCTGGATAAACTGATCTAAGATTGCTGCGTGTGTTGTGAAGGACAGATCTATCGATCCTCAAAATCATGATCAGCAATGCAACAATTGACTGACGGCACAGCAGCGTAATGACATCATCTGATTAATATTCAATTATCCATGTGAGCAAAATTACGTCAAATTAGCAGTAAACGGTTTGTTAAATATGACACGCAATAACTTTCCACATTTGTTGTGAGCTGCAGGCTTTACACTTTCATGTGTCAAGAGTATCCATCATGTATTTCAATGCATATCATTTAGTTCTACATTTAGAAAAGATTTTCTTTATTATAGAAGCCGTTTTTTTAATCGGTGTAAAGAATAACTGGTTGTTTACAAAAGCATTTTGATAATGGTAAAGGTGTCTGCAACTTTTGTGAAGCATCAAATCACCGGCATATTAACTATCAAAACATGTTTATGGCTGCATAAATGTATTATTGCTTTAAAAAAAAGTCACATATTGTGCATGTTTATTATACACAATTTGTACTAAAGCGATCTAAAAAGTTCATATCAATAAGTTTTCTCTGTGCACCACCAGGTGGCAGTCTTTGTACTTTCATTTCGAGAGTGCAGATTGCATAAATTTTATTAATATAGATAACTTTATTTTATTAATAACTATAACTTTATTTATTTATTTATTTATTTATATATATATATATATATATATATATATATATATATATATATATATATATATATATATATATATATATATAGTTTAAAAAATATTTACTCTTTTCCCAAGTGTATATAACTACTACTGTAAGAAAATATCAGAATTCGGTACATACTTTCTGTATTATATTGCTTGAACTGAGCCGATCTAATCCTGTTTATATAAACTGAACCTGCTCCCGATCAGGTTTAAGCTAGCAGAACTGTTGCTATGACAACAACTCTCGGATCAGCTTTGAAGAACGAAACGATCCTGGATCGTGTCAAATCGTCAATATCCAAATCCAGCTAACTGAGTAATCCACATACGAAGAACGGACCCCTGATGAATAAGCCAGATGATACAGCTAAAGTATTTATTAATTATTTTATGGACTCGGGAGTCTTAAGCACAGTGTTTCTCCCCCAACTATTTAGAAGTTCATCAAGTAGACACAGTAGAACAAGCTTTTTCACTAAGGTTAGTTTCCAAATCACGTCAAAAGATCAATTAC